AATTCATTTTAACAGAAAACAAGTTTTTATAAAATATGGAGGCCTCTGAGTGAGACTAACTCAATCCCTTACCTATAGTCGAATCGAAAGGTGTCGGAATCCTCACTGGCTCAGATTTACACTCTCCTCTAAATTCAGTATTATTCAAATAATTCTCGTGTTTACAAATAGAAAACATATAGGTTAATGACGGACATTTGTAGAAATAATTAGAATACTAAAAAGGGGATCGAGTTTTACTGTAGCGTGATCCTAGTCACTGAAATCGCCACACACCACCATACGCATGTCCTTGGTTCACCATGCGCCACCGCCGGAGCGTCATAGCCGTCACACGCGCCACTGTCGGAACCAGCACGCGCCACCAGAACCACACACGCGCCACCATGCTTCAGCTGGAACCCATCACAAAACGAGCTGCACACGCAGATCTGGCCTGAATATGGCAGAATCATGCCGGAAAAGGGTGTGGATGTGTGGAACCATGTCTGGCCACTGTTGCAATTCATCCTCTTCTTCACACCCCATCGCGTATTAACACTCTACAACTTTCTGGTTATGGGTCCTCTGTTGTACCGCATGTTGCACACACCAAACCTGCCTCGCTGTCAGTTTGATCTGTTACTTCCCACGCTCTCTCTTTTTGTTTTTTCTCTCTTTGCAACTCACTCTTTCTCTCTCTCTACAAGTTTGACTTTGTTTCTCTATTCTTTTCGATTTTTCCTTTTTTTCTTTAATAGGCGAGAGGACGGAGAGCCCTACATGCCTCTTCTTCCTTCTTATTCGGCATGCAGGTTCCGGTTTCGTCTTTGTCTTCTTCGGTGGTCAGAGGCGTACACACTTTTGGTTGCCCTAATTTTTTTTTAGTCCCCAAAATTTCGTCATTTTTATGCTCTCAAAATGACATCGTTTTCACCTCCTTCTATTTTTTATTTCTTCATATCAAAACGGTGTCATCTTTGGAGTTTCCCAAAATGATATCGTTTTAGCTTTTCCTACTTCTAAGAAGCAAATGGGTTGGATTTATTCTTTCGAGCCAGGTTGTTACAATTTCTTCCCCTTTAAAATAAATTTGGTCCTTTAAATTTGCAGTGACCAGGTGGTTTAAAGACATCCTTACTCGTTTTCAAGTTTTCTCTTTAACCTAATGGATGTGTTATGATGCTTTTACTGGTGGGATCTCTTTAGTTCGTAGTCAATTCTTTTCTAACTCTCGTAAATAAGATACAGTTGTTAAGAGTTTGTCTTATAAATTCGAAGTTTTTTTTTTTGGACGATTACTTTAGCTAAAAAGAATGTCATCTAGGGCTACAGTAATCCTCGAAGTTCACTAACGTTCCCCAATTTCACATGTCTGAATTAGATTATTGTTTTTCAACTTTTGAAATATGTGGTTACTTGAAATATACCATATATTGGATTTAATAGTAGGTATTAATATTGAAATATTTGCATCATTCCTAAGAACTTAGAATTTCATAACTTCCAAATCCTGGCTTGTGAATTTTGTAAGGGTGTTAAAGTTTCTAAGACTTTTTCTCTTTTATTCTAATGACTTGATATCCACGTGAATTATCCCTTAATTACATCGTATTGTTATTCTAAATCAATCAATCAAAGACTGACTGATTCCTAATATACCTCAATACTTAATCAACTTATTCTTAAACCCATTTAGAATATACATTGTGAGTTATGGAATTGATGGCTATTGTTAACAATCATTAAGAATTCATTTGGTAGAAGGTTCATTTGTTATTTAATTTCAAAAATTGCTTTTGGAAATTTTAAAAATATTTTAGTACCAAAACTTCCTCCTCTTTACTCAATGCATATAGTGCCTAACTAAGTTATTCTTAATTGAGTCAAATTGTACTTCTACCCATCAAAGTTTGAATGATTCCCAAGGCACCTCAGTACTTGGTCAGATTCTTATTAAAGTCCTTTTAAGTAAGTGATTATGAAATTTATATTCTTACTGAAATTTATTAAGAGTCTTTGGTAGAGGGGTCATATAATGGCCTAGCCAAAATTGATAATATTCTCTACCTATCCCATTCTTTTTATTATGGTTAGGTACTACATATTTCGCTTCCTAATGTTACAAGTTATTATTATTAGGAATGACACTACGATATAACTTGTGGGTTTGTCATATTCTCATTTAGTCTTTATTGACTTAGAAAAGAATTTCTTCATGTTTTAATTTTTAATTTGAGAGTATTTACTTTGAATATTCATCTTAATATATTTGTACAACGTATAATTTTTACATTCTAATTTAAGAACAAACAAACAATATGCGAGGGTTATTCATACTAACAGTTTTGTTATTAGAAAATATCGTCACAACTAATGGCTAATGAAGGATTGGTTGGGTTAATTCTGGTCATATGAATTTACTATTAGTCGTACTATGTTTAGAAATTTTACTTTTAGGAAGGTTTATTTATAGTATCTTAATCGAATGTCAATCTTGTAGGATATTGGATTTACAGTTGTCTTCTCTCTTTTTTTCTTCATGATTGGTCATAATCACATAGCATACTTTTATCAATGGTTGAGAAAATTTAAGATCTTTTCTAGATTAGAGAGT